CATTTCACAGAATCGATAAGGGATCGAATCGTTTCACAGAACCGATAAAGGAATCGGAATCTTCCTGGACCTGAATCATCCACCTCCGGCTGTCAGAGACATTGGAACCACAGCTGATTGGTTCATACCCAGAAGCTTAAAGATAAAGTGAAGCTCCTCCTCCACACTAGAGCCAGGAAAGAGAGGACGGCCCGTCATCATCTCATAAAAGATACACCCAACACCCCTGCAGAAAGACAGGTCATACATACAGGGAAGAGCCGTGATCAAACAACCAGGAACACAGACCAGTTTAAAGAGACCAGTTAACCTAACAGCCGTGTTATTGGACCAGGTGAGGAAGCAGGAGTACCCTGAGAGAACCCAACATGCAAGAGGACATGCAGAACCTCTGGCTAATCATTCTGCAGTACCAACTAAGAAGGATGGAATGGTTGTTGACGGTACCACATGTCGATGTGTGTGGAGTAGTCGGTGCTGCCAAGCAGGATGTCCGGCGGTCGGTACCACAGCGTCACCACCTCGTTAGAGTAGGTCTTTGTTGGGATGGACTTGGCTCGAGCCAAACCTGAAACAAATCAACAGCCGCGTTCACAGAACCTGCAAACTGAACCAGGTTTGACTAAAACCTCCTCGCCTGCAGCAAAGATCTTCATCCTAAACCCAAACAGAACCACCAGAACAGAACTCACCAAAATCTGCCAGTTTGAGCTCCCCTCGCTCATTGATCAGCAGGTTCTGGGGTTTCAGGTCTCGATGGAGAACTTTCCTCCCATGACAGTAAGACAAACCTCGCAGCAACTGGAAGAGAAACAGCTGAAACAGGAAGAGACCATGAGACAAACCAGGAAACCAGGAGACAAAATGGGCACAGCCCAGAGAGACCAGGAGCTGAACGACTGGAACCACAGAGAAAAGGAGACAATCATCCATTGATTAGTTCATCATCCATCCATCCATCCATCCATCCATCCATCCATCCATCCTCTTATCCGGGGTCGGGTCGGGGGGGTAGCAGCTCCAGTAGGGAGGCCCAGACGTCCCTCTCTCCAGCCACTTGGTCCAGCTCCTCTGGGGGAATCCCAAGGTGCTCCCAGCCCAGCAGAGAAACATAGTCCCTCCAGCGTGTCCTGGGTCTCCCCCTGGGCCTCCTCCCAGTGGGACGTGCCTGGAACACCTCACCAGGGAGACGTCCAGGAGGCATCCTAACCAGATGCCCGAGCCACCTCAACTGGCTCCTCTCCATGTGGAGGAGCAGCAGCTCTACTCTGAGTCCCCCCCGGATGACTGAGCTCCTCCTATCTCTAAGGGAGAGCCCAGACACGCTACGGAGAAAACTCATTTCAGCCGCTTGGATCCAGGATCTCATTCTTTTGGACATGACCCAAAGCTCCTGACTACGAACGTAGATTTACCGGTAAATCATGAGCTTTGCTTTTTGGCTCAGCTCTCTCTTCACCACAACAGACGGGTACAGCGCACGCTTCACAGCAGACGCCGCACCAATCCGCCTATCGATCTCCCGCTCCATCTTCCCCTCATTCGTGAACAAGACCCCAAGATACTTAAACTCCTCCACTAGGGGCAGTACATCCTCCCCACCCTGGAGAAGGTACTCTACCCTTTCCCGGCTAAAGACCATGGTCTCAGATTTGGAGGCACTGATCCTCATCCCATCCACTTCACACTCAGCTGCGAATCGCTCCAGTGAGAGCTGTAGATCGCGCCCTGATGAAGCCAACAGAACCACATCATCTGTGAATAACAGAGATGCAATCCTAAGGCCACCAAGACAGATCCCCCCCACACCTTAACAGAGCCTAGAAATTCTGTCCATAAAAGTTATGAACAGAATCTGTGACTAAAGGCAACCTTGGCGGAGTCCAACCCTCATTGGAAACGAGTCCGACTTACTGCCGGCAATGAGGACCAGACTCTGACACCAGTCATACAGAGACCTGACAGCCCTAATAAAGGGCCCGGTACTCCATACTCCCGGAGTGCCCCCCCACAGGACCCCCCGAGGAACACGGTTGAATGCCAACCATCCATCAATCATCTAACGACTAACATCCATCCATCCATCCATCCATCCATCCATCCATCCATCCATCCATCCATCCATCAGTTACCTTAACGTTGTGAACATGTATGATGTTTCCACAGTCTTCCAGATACTGTTTCAGATCTTTGTCCTGAAATGAATCATTGTGGGTCAGATCAGTTCATCAACCATCAGCAATAGCTGCAGGAACCTGCTCCATGTCTCACCAGGTACTCGAATACCAGTGTGAGGGATTTCTGCGTGTGAATGATGTCGTGAAGCGTGACGATGTTGGCGTGTTTCAAGTCCTTCAGCAGAGACACTGCGGGGGGGGGGGCAGACCAAAATCAGAAGAGATTGACAGAGGAGGTTAAGCCACACCCCTAACCCTGCAGTACCTTCTCTGATGGCCGTACAGGGAGCTCCTTCTTCATGTTCCAGACGAATCTCCTTCAGAGCAACAAGGTTCTCCGTCAGTTTACTGCGACCTTTATACACCGTAGCATAGGTCCCCTACGGATGGACAGACAGACAGACAGACAGCGTTACTGTAGAAGCAGTTTTATTGTCTTATATCAGATCAGAATCAGAATGTATCCTACAACATGGCCCTATACTTACTTAGCAACAAAACAGTACATCTTGAAGTTCAAGTATGAGTCTTAGCAATAATAAAGTCTCTAATGCTGTTGAATATAAATATCTGGCTGGCTTGCCAAATATGGAAGCAGTTGTACTGCGTTATGTAGTCCTGTTTCTGACCTTATGCTCACTTAGCAACACAGAGAATGCAGCATGTAAACAGAGAGTCTACAAGCTAGGAGTCACATACGAATCTTGGCAAAAACAGGGTTCTTACTGGCTGACTCGCACGCAATCAGGTCATAAGCTAAGAGATTTCCAGGTAGAGCGTCCAGTCGTGCACGTGCATCCACACAGTGCGATGTGGAAACTATAAAGGCCGCCCAGAATGGATTGAAGGGGGGGGATAACAGAATTTTTGATGATGCGTTGCTGGATGTATGAAGTGTTTTAAGACAGCTGTATGAATTCGGTTTTGTAATTAAATGTGTCCCCCCATCTGGATGATAAATGGTGGGAATCGTGGCCTTCTTTCTGTCATAAGGGAATTCTACCAATGAGCTTCCATAGATGGTGCATTGGCCGGGAATGACACCCGGCCAATGCACAAATAATTTAATTCAGCAGCAACTCCCACATTTGAATAAACAGCGGACTGGCAGCTGTGAGCTCACCTCTCCCAGTTTGTCCAGTTTGATGTACGTTTCCAGTTTCCCAAAGCCGATCTCCGACTGCACACAGAGAAACAACCCTGAGCTTCATGGACAACTAGACTCAACATCCTCAGACCAGCAGAGACAGGAAGTACCAGAGAGACCCTGCGGAGCCTTCTGCTGATTGGCTGCTCAAACAGAGCCGGACCAATCACGCTGAACTTCTCCAGGTAATCGTCAGGAAGACGGATGTCTGCCGGTAACGACAGACGTTTATTGATGTCCTGAAGGACGAGAAGCAGAGACTCAGGATGGTCCTTCATCCAGACCGTCAGCAATGAAAGGATCTAAAGCTGGAACCGTGTTTGGGTTGGTACCTCAGTAGAGATCTTCTTGTTCCTCAGTCGGACCCGGACCGGACTCTGAACATCATCTGAGGATGATGGCGGGTCGCTCTCTCCGTCCGAGTTCATCTTGACATCCTCGTGAACAATTTCTGGAATAGATATTTACAGCTTCAGACACGACACAGAACCACACTCACAGCTGATTGGCTAAACCAAGACGCCTTCTGCAGGTTCTGTCAGCTCAGCATACGGCGTCAGGCCAGCATACCCTCAGTAATACGCATCACATAGAGTTTTCTCTGTCTCTGCTCTCCTTACAGCCATTCATGTTGTTTTATTTCACGATTTAAGCAGGTTTTTGACGTAGTTTGTGCAAAAAACAACAAAAAAATCATTCATTAGGTTTTTCACTGAAATTAGGTTTAAAAACAAACATTTCATGTCCGTTAGATGAGGATCTTATTAAAGTCCAATAGT